GCTATGAAGGAATTTGCAGCACATGGTTTCCGAGCTCGTGAGCTATCCGGACGTGAAGAGACTTCTACTTGCATAACAGAGAACCCCAACACCCAGCACTTGGGAGGCAGAGGTAGGCGGATCTCTGTGAGTTCAAGGCCAGGCTGGTCTACATAGTGAGTTCCAGGACAGCTGGGGCTACAGGAAGACCCTGTCTCCAAAAAACAAAAAATAAATAAATAAAATATCAATTAAAAAACCTGAAACTTCACAAAGGAAAAACTAGATAGCCAGACAACATCTTAAATAAGACATCAATTCTTGTGACACAGCAACACACAGGCATGACATTACTTCTGTGTCATTCTTGCCAAAATTGCACACCTAAATTGGGTCATGAGAAAACACAAGTCACTGAAAGAATTCTATACAATGCTTTGCATACATTCTTCAAAATGATAAGGTAGCAGCTGTGGATACAGCTCAGTGATATACAGTAGCACCTGTTTAGCACGCACAGGGATTCAATACCTAGTAACCTTCCCTGCCCCCCAAAGGGACAAGGTCATAAAAGACAAAGACTAAACAAACATTCTACATCAAGGAGACTAAGAAGACATGCTACTAGCTACAATGGCTAATCCTGGACAGGCATTTGGATCAGAGATAAAAATTAGTGGGCAAGAAGTGAAACTCAAGATCTATATAGTATCTTATTAATATGAAGTTACTGCTTTTGTGTGTCACCGAAGATGTCAGCAACTGGAAACGGTAGATGAAGGATACAGAGGAATGCTCCATATTGAGTATATAGTTTTTAATATGCTTGAGATTATCTCAAAAAGTTAAAAATTTTTAAGAAAACAAAGAAAAGCAGCAGATCTGTATTTCAGTTGTATTCATCCTCACCAGAACTCTTCCCCTCTGGTGATCAGTCTGGAAAAAAAATAAGCTCTGACTTTCATGTTGATGGAACCAAACTTTATATACCAATAGAGTGAAGCTACTCAATGTCCAAGCAGGACAGCACAAAGAACAGAAGCATAAAAGGACCATGAGGAAAGCAAGGTGTGGTGGCATGTGCCTGGAATCCCAGCACTCAGACTGTTGAAGCAGGAGGACCTTGAGTTCTGAGCTACAGAATGAAACAAACACAAAGAACATGAGGAAATAGATGGAGAGAGACTTAAAGAAAAGGAAAGAAATACTATACACCAAAAGAAAACACTCATTGGGATTTGGTACCTGATGCAATCAAGGGGATTAATGTTTAAAGGCTAGGGAAGTAATACCATTGTACAAATTCTGAGGAACAGTAAGCTTGAGAGATTGAAGGTAAGATGGAGAATATTGGGGAGGGCAGCCATTATTGTAAGGTTTTAAAATAAGAGGAATGGGTCCAAGCTTAAATTCTAAAAAAATATCTAAATTGCCAAGTACAGCGGTACATGTATGATCTTAGAACTTGGGAAGGTCAGGTGAGAGGAGAGCCATGAGTTCAAGGCCACCTGGGCTGCACAGTGACAACCAGGTTAGTCAGGGCTACCTAGCAAACCCTCTCAAAAACCCAAACCAAACCAACAAAGCCTCTGTGTTTTTATACTGAAACATCCAAGTAAGTCTGTCTGTCAGAACATCATGATGTTTATCACTGTGGGGCTAGAAGTAGAATAATTATCAAACCTCAACTTAATACATAAAAGAAAAAAAAGAGGGCACAGTTTTAACTAGCAGGGTTGGGTGCTGAAGCTAAAAACCCTTCCTTGTGCATTCACAATATAAAAAGGAGGGTCAATCCAACCCCTTATGTCACCACCTCACATGGACAGCCATGCTTTGGGGAACATTTCATAAAAAGCACAAGGGATGATAAGCCATTTAAACTCCCATTCCAAAAGTAAACTTCCTATTGATTCTACTGAAAACACGCAACATACCCTCCACTCAGTAGACTATCTCATCACAATGGCTCGGCACTGTTTGTTATATTCTGCAATCCCCATTTTCACCACATCCTCTGGCCCTTCAATTCCCAGTGTTTTATCAATTTCACATTCCTGAAAATACAATGTAAGATAGTTAACGACCTTACCTTATGAAACAAATACAACTAAGCAACTCTAGAAAACAAAACAGCTTTAAAAAAAAACACCCCCCACAAAAAACTACACAGAAAATTAGTAATACATAATAATACGGAAACGAAGAAGGAAGTATCTGACATGCTTATAAGTAATCAGCACATTTGAACTGGTGAACAAAGACATTAAGGCAGGTGCAAAAATAAATCCTCTTCTGTAACCCAGAACTCGCTGCTCAGTGTGAGTCTTGATATATATATGAAGGAATATAATACTGAAGACAGCTCAAAGTGATGATGGCACTGATAATGAGGTTGATTCAAAGATCATAGAGTTGATAGTTTAAAAGAAAAAAACCCATCAAAATACCATAAAGACTGGAGACTCAAATGTACCACAGGTAGGCCATGAGAGTCCCATCCAAATCTTCTGTCAACATGAAACCCATTCTGGTGAGTGTATCTTGTAACTATATCTTTAAATGTCCCTGCAAGTATATGTCCATAGTGAGGTAGTCCAGCTGCAAAGGGAGGCCCATCATAGAAGGTAAATCTAACATAATAAAAATACATTGCCGGGCATGGTGGCACATGCCTTTAATCCCAGCACTTGGAAGGCAGAGGCAGGTGGATCTTTGTGAGTCTGAGGCCAGCCTGGTCTACATAGCAAGTTCCAGGACATCTGGGACTACAGGGAGACCCTGTCTCAAAAAGACAAAAAAAAATCAAGTCATTTTAAAACAGCAAAAATTTAGGACATTCTTATGTAGGTATCACAGTTGAACATTTTGTGGTGGGGAGGAAGCAGCAAGACCAGGCGATTCAGACATAACTGATTAGAAGTTTACTGGAGGCCCTGCCTTCAGAAAGGCAACTAGTTATGAGAGAGCTGAGGAGACAGTTATGAACAAAGAGTAGAGGCAGAAAACATTGTAGCTGTCTGTGGGGCTTATATTTAAGTGCTAAGTGCTATGTGAGGGTAGCGATGATTTAAAAATATAAGAAAGCAGTGTATAAACTCTATTCAAATGACTTCCAAGAACTAAGAACTCTCTTACTAATGTTCATTCCTGAGTATGTATTATGTCCACAACTGAGAGACTCTAAGCAGTATCTGCATGGATGGAAGTCCTATGAGAAATGGCTACTCGTAAGGACTCTGTCTTTACCAAAGAAATTTACATACTTTGGCCTATGTTTTGATTGCTTTAAGCATTCCTGGAAACAATTAAATTTGGGCCAGAACTGCAAGATTTTCTCTTCTTCAGCAGGAAAATTGATGTTTTCTAGAACTTGTTCAACCATTCTGTTGCTGTAAGAGAAATCAAAATTGCTATGGTTACAAAGTAATCTAGGACTAGCAAGATAATAATTACTAAAATGGGAATACACACTACTTCATACATACTGCATGTGTAAACCAACAGCTTTAGTGGGTAAAATTTATATACCATAAAGTGTATGCTTTAAAAGTGCATAATTCAGCTGGGTGTGGTGGCCTACACCTTTAATCCCAGCACTGGAGAGTCTGAAGCAGGCAGATCTCTGAGACTGAGAACAGCTTCCACAAGTTCTAGGCCAGCTGGGGCAATAATGAGACCTTGTCTCAAAAAACAAACAAAAAGGGGCACAATTTAGGTATTTTTTAGTATATTGAAAAGGTACGTAACCACCCATCACCACTATCTAATTTCAGAACATGTTCAAACCTCCCCTAACTATTGCAATCACATTTTCACCCACTTCAGCTCTGGCACCCTCTAATCTTCTTGCTAACTCTATAATGATGGGCCTATTTACATTTCATATAAAATGAAAAATTATCTGTTAATGTGGCATGTTGTGTCTGGTTTCATTTGCTTAGAATGTTTTCAAGGGTCATTAATACTATAATCACATTGATACTTCATATGGCTCACCACATCTTATTAATTCACCAGTTTACACATTCAAGTTCAAATTTCCATTCAGGGGCCAGTGAGATGGATCAGTGGTAAAGGCACTTGCCAATAAATCTGACCACCTGAGTTTGATACCATATGATGAAAAGAAGATAATTAACCTCAGCAAGTTGATATCTGATCACACATCTACTATGGCATGTTCATTATCTCCCCCTACTTGCGAAAAATAAATGTAATAAAAACATTTTTTGGGGGGGTTTTGAGACAGGGTCTCCCTGTAGCCCCAGCTGTCCTGAAACTCACTCACATGTGGACCAGGCTGGCCTTGAACTCAGAGAGATCCGCCTGCCTCTACCTCCTGAGTGCTGGGATTAAAGGCGTGCGCCACCACGCCCAGCATAAAAACATTTTTATAAAACCCAAATCATGTGGACATGTTTTCTTTTCTCTTAGGTATATAGTTATGAATGGAATTTCTGGATCATATAACTGTCACTTAACTTTCTGAGAAGCTGCCAAAATGTTTTCCAAAATGACTGTACCACTCTAGGTCTCCCCCAGCAGTAAACGGGAGTGCCAACTTCTTCATATCCTCCCTACCCATCCTTACTGTCTAGCTTTGCAGTACAGCTGTCTTACAGGATACGAGATAATACTCAACTGTAGTTTTGAGTTATATTACCCTAATGACCACTGATGACCTAATGACCATGTGCTTTATAGGCCATTTGTGTATCTTCTTAGGATATTTATTCAGCCTTTGCCCTTTTTAAAATGGGTTGTCTTTTCAAGGCTGAGGTTTAAGAATTCTTAAAGGGGCTAGAAAGGTAGCTCAGTGGTTAAAAGTGCTTGCTGCTCTTCAAGTTCATTTCCCAGCACCCATATCAGGTGGCTCATAACTGCCTCTAACTCCAGTTCTAGGGGATCTGATGCCCTCTTTTGGCATCTGCAGACACTGGTACACATCTGGCCTACACTCAAACATAAATATAAATAAATCAAATACAGAGGTCATCACCACAGCACTTCAGGAAGAACAATGTACCAGTGACTGGGTTATGGCAGCTGCTGAGAAGAAACAGCTCCCATACATAAATCACAGGATTTCTCTGGCCCACTGTACCCACTGGAGAACTGTACCTACCTCCAGCAACCACAGGGTGGAGGGAGGAGATGAGGTTGAGGAAGGGCATGTCAACACTGCCAGGTAATGTACAAGAATGCCATTCTGTCCTCTGCCTTCTAAACACAACCCAGGCCTTCCTTCTTCACTGTTCTGTAACTCCTTCAGGCCATTTTGGCCTCAGCTTCCTCTGGCTGCTCCTCTTCCTTTTTCCTTTCCTTATACAGCCAAGGTTGGCTTACTCCCTGTGTAGCTAGGGATGACTCTGAACTTCAGATCCTCCTGCCTCTACTTCTTGAGTGCTGGGATCATAGGTAGGCTTTTAGGAGGTATGGGGGATGGAACCCAGGGCCTCAAGCATGCAAGGTAAGCATTCTATCAACTGAGGGAACTCTGCTACTTTTAAACTACTTTTCTTTACCTTCACAAATTTATCTCAACATATCTTTTTTTTTTTTTTTTTTTTTGGTCTTTTTGAGGCAGGGTCTCCCTGTAGCCCCAGCTGTCCTGGAACTATGTAGACCAGGCTGGCCTTGAACTCACAGAGATCCACCTGCCTCTGCCTCCCAAGTGCTGGGATCAAAGGTGTGTGCCACCATGCCCAGCCTCACCATACCTTTTAAAAAAGATTTTATTTATTTTTATTTTACATGTATGGGTGTTTTGCCTGCATGTATGTAAGTCATAAATATACTACATGCATGCAGTGCCCATGGAGGTCAGAAGAAGGCGACAAATCCCTTGTAACTGGAGTTACAGCTGGTTGCGAGCCTCCATGTAGGTGCTAGGAACCAAACCTGGGTTCTCTGTAAGAGCAGCAAGTGCTCTTAAACACTGAGTCATCTCACCAGCCCCCATCTCAGTATATCTTGAGAAAGTACAATGAAACTCCTTAGATCTTGATAGGTGTTAGCATATAACTGTCACACCAGCACCTGGGAGGATGATCACAGGTTTGAGGAAAGGTTAGATTCCATAGACTGTCTGAAAAACAAACATGCTAGCATCTTGCTACAATTGATTTCTCTTTTAACTCTGCTAAATGGCTCCACCACTCTTTTCATTACTCATGCCGAGTGCCTTTTCCTGGGGCTATGTGAATGTTCAGTCAGTCCAGACAGTCCAGACACAATGGCCCAAAGAGCCGGCTCAGTGGAGAAAGGTGCCTGCTGCCATGCCTGATAGCCTGAGTTCAATCTCCAGGATCCACATTCTGAAAAGAACTGACTTCTGTAAGCTGTCCTCTGAGCTCCATATATGCAGTGGCACACACACATTTGCATGCACACAATCACACACAAAATAAAATTTTTTTTTAAAAAAAGGAAAAATCTGTACACAAAGATACTTGGACATGAAAGTTAAAGATAATCAGGATGAAATTTTTTCTTGTCAGATTCAGACAAAATTAAAAGCTAGAACATTAAGAATGGGGAGGACTCATGTTTATATACTGCATAAGCACTTTCTAAAGGTTCAAAAGAGGGGATGGATTGGGACCCTGGTTTCAATCTCTAGCATCAAAATAAATAGATAATCCTTTTACTGGACCTCCTAGGCCATGGTCAGAGCTTACTAGAGCATGTGTATTCCCACTGAAATACTCTGCTACTCTCAAATATCAATCATTAGAGAACCTTCCCCTCATTCTTATTTAGGTTGACACATGGAAGCACTGCTATTGCAGAGGACCTGGGTTTGATTCCCAGCACCCACATGGAGGCTACAAACTGTCCTTAACTCCAGTTCCACAGGAATCTGACACCCTCTTCTGACCTCCATGGCATTGCACGACACCAGTGCACTCACATACATGCAGGTAATACATTCATACATATAAAATAAAAATAATATATAAAATTTAAAAAAAAGATTTGGGATCAAACTCCAGCATCATCAAAAAATAAAAACCACCCCAAATCAATCAATCAATCAGCCAAAAATCCTTCTGCATCTGCAAGGCACTCTGGTTTCAGGAACTCTGGAAATACCCAAATACAAGGATGCTGAAATCTCAATACATATAAAATGCAGAATTTGCGTAAACAAACATTCATTTCCTTGCATATTTTAAATAATCTAGATTACTTATAATATCTAATACATTTTTAAAAATCAAATGAGAAATTTAGATTTTTTTAATTAGTTATTTTTTTGGAGACAGGGTCTCCCTGTAGCCCCAGCTGGCCTGGAACTAACTTATGTAGAACAGCTAGACCTCCATCTCACAGAGATCAGCCTGTGTCTGCCTCCTGAATGCTGGGATAAAAGCATGCACCACTGTATCCTGCTAAAGTTATTTTTTATGTATATACTCATCTTTTGCCTGCACATATGTAACTGCACCTTTGCATGAAATAGTTAGTCCCAGAGGCCAAAAGAAAGTAACAGATCCCCTGTAACTGGAATTATGGAGGACTGATGGCCATCATGTAGGTGCTCAGAACGGAACCTGGGTCCTCCAAAAGAGAAGTCAGTCCTGTTAACCGATTAGTCTTCTCTCCAGCCCTAATACTTAATACATTTTAAATGCTACATAAACAGTTGTTATACTCCATTGTATTGTTAGGGAAAGAGGAGTTTACTGCTTGTCTGAATTTACTGCTTGAATTTACTTGTTTGAATTTACTGCTTGTAACCAATTAACTCAACTGGAGACACAGGCATCTGGAGGTAGGGGCAAGTGCTGCAGCCTCTGGAGCCTGACCTGTCTGATCTGTGTCGTGTCACGTAGGCATGTCTGCTTACACAAGATAACAGGGAAGGGTCGGGCCAGGCATCCCTCCCCGATTGGGACTCCTGAAGGGAGTTGTAACATTTTTCTTGTTTTGAAGTTATTGGTTTGTGAAATGCTTGCTTTGAAACTATTGGTTGTATAAACACGGGCTTTTGTGTAACGGTTGTGGGAGCCTATATAATCTTTACTTGAAATTGCCTCAGGGTCGATCACTCTAACCAGACCTGAGTGTCTTGGAAGGACGGTCAGCCCCATCTAGCTGGTTTAATAAAACTGCTTGATTTTTGCATCTCCATACTCGTGCATTTGTTCTCCTGAAGAGACCCACCGAGTCATGGACCCTAACATTTTGGGGGCTCGTCCGGGATTCGGGGGGGGCTTCTGGGGGAACAAAGGATGAATGGAGGCAGAGTTTCTTTTCTCCGGACAGGGCAGTGTAATTCGAGGGTCGCCCCCTCGTGTCTGTAAAATCCAGAATAAAGCGAGAGTCGCCATCTCGTGTCTGGTCTCGGGTTAGTAATCCCAAGTGAGGATGTCCAGGTTCAAGTCCCGGCACCTAGGTGAAAGTCCAGGTAACCAGCTCTGGCCCTAGGGTCTGAGTGTCCCGGCCCTAGGAAGGAAGCCTGCCATCAAATCTGGCGCCTGAGGAGGAAAAAATTGAGCTGGTCACTCTGAGGCAGTCTGAGTGGACGCCATTTGGGAGAATCACGAGAAGTCTCGGGGATCCTGAAAATGAGAGTGGTGAGTGCAGCGCGCATCTGAGCGAAAGAAGGACCGGTCCGCACGAATGTGATTCAATGTGGTGCGTGTGCTGGATGGTTGTGCTAATTGTCTTACTCGGGGGGGGTGTCTGGTTTTGTATTTTTCTCTACGCTCCCTATTTTAAACCTTCCCTTCCTCCTTTTCCTTCCTTTTATTCTCAGTCTAAGTCTTCGCGTGGGACCGTTAAAGGCGAAAGAGCAATTGAGGTTTTCTGGTCAGGGTGAAAGGCTCTTAGCCCTCTTAGCGGACCCCGACTGGCCGCACGGGTGGAGACA